ATTGTTAAATATAAATATTAAAATGGTTAGATATATTAAAACAGAACATAAAAAACATGTTGTTGTTACTCGGAGTTTCGCGATATGCGAACTGAACCATCCAAAACTTTCTTGTGCAAATCTCACCAAAACAGGTTTTTTACCCCCTATAAAAATGGTTTGTACCCTCAATTACACCCCGATCTCATTTCTAAAAAATTACAAATATGATTTTTATTTGTCAGAGAGCAACAAATCAATTCTATTTTTCAAATATTTTCTTGGTGATAAGAATGCTCAGTTAGAGTCTCTTGTCTATGTGCTTCCACAGAATTGCCTCATTTTGAATCTCCAGTTCACAGTTTTGGTAATTCTCATTTAATCTTTTAATGTTTTAATTGTCGATTGTTGTACTAAATTTACATTTTATGGTCGATTGTAAATGAATTAATGTCATTGTACAATTTTATTATAAATACGGAATGTTATGTTTATAGGCATCTTGGATTGACCAGATCATCACTTATACAGACGGATAACGCCGATGTATTGTAAATATTGTAACCAGTTATTATTAAAAAATTTCAAATTATTTTCATAGTTTTAATGTAATTCCCTCACTACTACAATACATTTATTAACTCAACGTAAACCTCAGCCGTCCATAATAATAAACTTTTGATTTAAATTAATAATAGTTTTGAGACTATGTAACTAGACCTACATTATGTTTATTACTACTAAAGTTGTCTAAAAATAAAAGTGGACTGCTCGCGGTTATGTTTTGAATGTTTTCTTGACTAATCTTTTCATAAGGCAACCTGGATTATGCTCAAGATTGTACTCTACCATTTTAGGTTTATTCATTAAAGGGAGATAAGTCGATTATAAACGTAAATGCTTGTTACATGGTCTTTGAAGAAGACACGAAAAAATAAATAAAATGTAGCGGACTTCTTTGTCTTTGAGAGCGTACATCAAAATCTACCTTTGTTTGCTCTTCCACAAAAAATATTGTATGCAAAGTTCTATTAGTATCATTACTGGACGATGTTCCCCTCTTGAAATTTGCTTCACAAAGGACCCATGAGGGAAAAGGCCACTTGACCAAAAAAAAAAAAAAAAAACGACCAATAGAAACATGTTGAGATTTAGCTGGAATACTTTACAGCTCTCACTGCATATCGCGAGAAGTCTTCAACCTTTATAATATCAGAAACTCAATTAATATGGTGACAAAATCAATTATGTCCTATCAACACAGGGTGACAATTGCTGTTAGAGAATGATGTTGACGTTAAAACCATAACGACCATACGCTGATTCATTAACCTGGGCCATTTGGAATATGTTGTAACAGGAGGAAGGTAGGTAGTTTGGCAGGTAAACTATTTTTTATGAAAGTATTTAGAACAACAACATTAGACGAGGACACGTTTACAAATTTCACGGCATCTATCTCGGTACTAAATTTGTTGATATCTTTGGTAAAGTCAGATTTTCTTGCTTATCAAATAAATCATTTAATCGTGTTCATTATTTTTCCCCTTACCAATCGTTAGGTACAGATGAGGAGTGTAATTTTGATAACATTGGTGGTACTCTTGCTGTTGGCGCATTCTGCTGACTGTGGATTCAGGAGATGGGTTAGACGTAATGACATTCAAGATATTGGTGCCGGTGGAAAGAAACGTGATGTACTGTTCAATGAAAATACGGACGAGGCTCTGGGCGAATCTTTATTTGTTTAGTTTATAGAGGTAAGTAAAATGTTATTTATCCCACTGATA